TGGTGTACCTATCTTACCGAGCTCCGCTCATAGCCGTGGGGTCGGGGAGTCCCATTCGTGGAGAAAGCTCCTATCGACCTTGGCGTAATATATGCGTGTTCTGTAATTACCTATCTCCATCTGGTCGCAGCCGACCCACCAAATTGCGGGAAAGATGGAAATTATTATTCACGACCTTATTTGCAGTTTGATAGCAGATGTGTCGATAGCGATGGCCCCCTATCAGTCGTTCGATGGCTTCCAGCTGGAGGGGGTCGAGTAGTAACACAACCGCACTTGCCACCCGTCAGACCGGCCGGAGATACTTCCTCGCTGGAGGGATCAAGCCATCGCAAGCATCCTTCCGCAGACTCAAAAGACGCCACACAAACTGTCTGGTCGAACCCCGGACTGGCGGGCCTCCAGGCTGTCGCAGACTCGCAGCAGCTGCCAATCCCGGGCCCCAATCGCGTGGTCAAACCGTTGCCCGATCCATGGTGAGATGCCGCTCAGATGCGACAATTGTAACCTCAGCCTCTCGGCCTGCCCGTCTAACGCTTGATTCGGCCAAGTTCACCCCATCTCTTATCTTGATTCGCCATCGCCTGTTTTCCAACGCGTCCTTCGATGTCTTCCATGCGTTCCCTGCATTATTTGCGCTGATACCGACTGCCTTCCCTCTTAAAGCAAGATCGCACGCTCATCCTTTTAAAACCGGTCGCTCACCCGCCCTCTCTTCTCTTCTTCCCCATCCTTTCATCCCCCCCAGCCCTTTTTCTTTGACAACCTTCTGCTTCTGCTCGCGACACCATGGGCGTTGAGGAGCCCAAGAAAGCCCCTGCCGATGTCGAGACCGGCGCTGTGCCTCCGCCTGCCTACGTTCAGGATGGCCAGATCCACAGCTTCGAGGAAGAGGACTTTTTGACCCGAAATGGCCTGAATTTCAAGTCTTTCCAGCGTCGCCCGGCCGACTATGTTGAGCTGCCTCGCCGAATGAAAACCCGCCATATGCATATGATTGCCATTGGTGGTTCCATTGGTGCTGGTTTCTTCGTCGGTTCTGGTAGTGCTCTTAACACTGGAGTAAGCGCGCAATTCCCCATCTCAAGTCGCATGTCGCGCGCGATTCTGACTTGTTGCTTAGGGCCCTGCTTCTTTGTTCCTGGATTTCACGATTATTGGTATTATGATCTTCAACGTCGGTGCGTATTTTCCCCTGCTTCTGCCTCAAGATGAGACCTCGACCGATTGTACTGATGATTTCAACATTTAGTCTACGCTCTTGGTGAACTCTCTATCATGTATCCTATCACTGGTGGTTTCTACACTTACTCCTCGCGCTTCATTGACCCTTCCTGGGGCTTCGCCATGGGCTGGAATTACGTCTTTCAATGGGCTATCATTGTCCCTCTGGAATTAACAGTCGCCGGTCTCACAATTGACTATTGGGAAGTCGATGTTAGTGTCGCGGTCTGGATCACTGTGTTCCTGATCGCCATCATTGTCCTCAACATTTTCGGCTCGCTTGGGTACGCCGAAGAAGAGTTCTGGTCCTCGTGCCTGAAGCTTGGCGCCATTATCGTCTTCATGATCATCGCCTTGGTCCTTGTTCTCGGTGGCGGTCCTTCGGGTCACAAATACGACGAGTACTTTGGTGCCCGCTACTGGTACAACCCCGGTGCCTTCAAGAACGGATTCAAGGGTTTCTGCTCTGTCTTCGTGACTGCTGCCTTCTCGTTCAGTGGAACCGAACTGGTCGGCTTGGCCGCAGCCGAGTCCGAAAACCCTACCAAGTCCCTACCCGGAGCCATCAAGCAGGTCTTCTGGCGTATCACCCTGTAAGCGCTCCCTTTACCCTTACTCCTCCCCACCTTCCCGCCCTTGCAGTAACTAATAGCGCGCATATAGCTTCTACATCGTTGGTCTTACGTTCATTGGCCTTCTCGTCTCCTCCGAGGATCCGCGTCTCTTGGGTAGCGGCGGCTACATTGACGTTGCCGCTTCACCTTTTGTGATTGTGGGCAAAGATGCCGGTCTTAACGGTTACGACTCCTTTATGAACGTCATTATCCTCGTCTCTGTGCTCTCCATCGGTGTCTCTGGTGTCTTTGGTGCTTCCCGTACCCTCACTGCGCTTGCCGAGCAGGGCTACGCCCCCAAGCTCTTCACATATGTCGACCGCTCCGGTCGCCCTCTCTGGTCTGTGCTTATTATCATCGTCTTTGGTGTCTTGGGATACATCAACGTGGACTCATCTGGTGAGGAAGTGTTTGCATGGCTCCAGGCCTTGTCCGGTCTGGCCGCGCTTTTCACCTGGGGCTCCATTTGCTTGGCCCACATTCGTTTCCGCAAGGCGTGGGCTTACCACGGTCACACACTTGACGAGATCCCCTTCCACGCCGTTGGTGGTGTCTACGGTTCTTACCTCGGCCTGTTCCTGATCTTCATCGTCCTAGCTGCTCAGGTATGTCTTCTGGTAGTTTCTTTAAATCAGGCATCATAAACTAACGTCGGTGACAGTTCTTCGTGGCCATTGCACCCCCCGGCGGCGGTCTCAACGATGCCGAGGGCTTCTTCAAATCCTACCTTGCCCTCCCCGTTGTGCTCTTCTTCTGGGCCTGCGGTTACCTCTGGAAGCGCCAGGGCTGGCTCCGAACCTCTCAGATCGACGTTGACAGCGGTCGCCGCGAGATTGACTGGACTTACATCAACGCTGAGCGCGCCAGAGTCGCTGCGCTGCCCACGTGGCGTCGGATCATCAACATTATCATCTAGTAGATATATCCTGTCGATCGATATTCACACGCCATTCTCTCTCTGAGGTGTTCTTTTTAGGACGATCTGGGATACATGGTTCTGATTCATGTCTACTAGTAGTTAATAGCTTATTCTCATCTTAACTAAGGTTGACTTCTGTCTTAGTCTAATCTACTCTCTACCTTTGTACAAAGTGACAAATCCATTCGCCACCTCCACCTCCAGACCAAACTCGGTCAACGCCGGCCCATTTTCTGCATACGTGTCTGAATCTGGGCTCCCGCCCAAGGTGTGATTTCCACGATCTCTCATGCAAGAGCTTCCCCCTCCCACTAGCTTCTTTATCCTTAGCGGCAGCGACTGCGACTCGACCAGCCGAGAGTCGAAATTTCCAATTCATCCATAAAATTACCCTGAGATTCCCATTACCATTCACATTCAAGTAAGCTCACCCCCAGAGGCCCTTCCAAGCCCGCCTAGTCCCAAAGAGGCTATCTCCTCCGCTCCACCGACCACACCATGTCTCGGCGGCGCCTGGGGTCGACTCTGCAGGCGGCAGCGTGAGCGCGCTGGCCCGCCACCAACACCACTGGTCGGATCCGGTCCTGTCTTCTGAGACTTGCGGAGGTTGGGCCGCTGGGTCTGGGACGCCTGGAGAAAACGCCACGGCGCTAGTCTCTCAACCCCCGCTTGGCGGCCTCGTTCTCGACCCGTGCAGACCCAGGGCTTTTGGGAATGGTCGAGTCTGCTGAGGATGGTGAATGCTTGGCGTTGCGAGCGCAAGTCATGCGCGTGTCTGATGTTGCGTTCGGCGCGGCGCCGCTGAGCGTCAGGACTTGAGAGTGAGATTGCCAATGCCACTGATTTTGGTCGTCGCTCGTTCGTTGAGTCGATTCGAATCGATTATCGGTGGTCTGGCTTGGTTTGGTTCGCCCGAGGGACTCGGTATGATAGGATTTTCGCCTGGACTCTCCTCCGTAAACGTTGACACTCGTAGCAAGGTCAATCGGTTGATTGCATGTCTGACTCCGTCTCATCTCATCGTACTCTCCTGGTTTGATTTTGCCTTATCAGTGCCGGTACTCCGTATCTACCCCATCCATGAGTATTCCACCCATGAGTATTCGCGCCTCCGCCGACGGATATGGATGCAGGTGAGGTGAGATTCGTGGCAGGCGGAAGGTTACCGGCGCAAGCCGAGGCATGCATGGACGCCCATCCATCGCATCACGCAGACGCATCCCGGTCATGCCGTCAACGCGGTCACGCAAGCGGCAAGCGGCAAGATGTCGCTGGGGCCGGGTGGTTGTTGTTGGGTTTTAGTGCTTACGTGCTTCAGAGGATGGGCGAGGCTTTTAGAGTTTTAGACACATGGATGCGTTTCCGAATTCTGTTCTCCCGAGGGTGAATCTCCGTCTATACACATTTTCGCTGAGGGTACTGTGCCTGTCCCCCAAACGACACACAGCGAGTTGGGTCGTTTCCATCACCATGGGTGAGGGAGGGGGGGAGGGTTTATATATTGAACATGTCTGGTATACAAGCTCTGGATTGCGCTTTCTTCAAATGTAAATGGAGCTTTGAATTATCAGTTGTGTTTTTATTTTTGAATAGATTTGGTTTTAAAGTTGTGGGTTGGACTATATATTTTGGGGACAGGACAGGCACAACTGGCCTCACATTCTACAATCGGGATCAAACCCAGGATTACTATTACTCCTAATCCCAGCAGAGATCAAGCAACTTCCCACACCCCGTAGTAGATACCTTGATGTACGATGGAATCTAGAAACAGACAACTATCTAGTTGTGGCTGTTTTCAAGGATTTGCAAGTTTCCTTTTAAACGTGCCCTCTGTTAAGCAAAATAAGATAGGATTGTACTCTACATAGATATATAACCTTCCAGCCAGATTATGCTTAGAGGGAAAAGTAGAGTGCATACACAGCTTGCTATCTATCTATACCCAGTCCTAAGCAGTTAGTTGAAGGTGATACTTCTAAGCAAATGATTCAAGAAATGCCCTCATTTAGCTAAAAGAACAAGTTGGTTAGGTTTTCTTATTGAGCAAATAATTCTAAAAATGTGCATATTTATCCCAACAAACTTTCCCTAGTCCTGAGCAGTTTATTGGAGATGAGATTTCCTTTTGAGCGAATAATTCAAGAAATGCCCTCATTTATTTCACTAGTCTGGTTTTCTTTTGAGCAAATAAACTCAAAGGAAATGTGCTCATTTATGCTAAATGAGCAGATATCAACAGGGCCCTTATGGCGCAGTGGTAGCGCGTGTCACTCGTAATGACAAGGTCGATAGTTCAATCCTGTCTGGGGGCATCAAATTTTTTTGCGACCTCCTGTTAGGAGGTTAGTGATTGGCCTTTATGGTGTACTCCATAGTGGGAGTGGGCCTGAGCAGTGTGAGGGCATTCCATGTTGTCCCTCCTCTATTGGTTGTAGCCGGAGCGGTCCGCCCCACACGTCACCAATCGGCCCTTGTGGCGTAGTGGTAGAGCGTCTGACTCGTAATCAGAAGGTCCATCGTTCAATCCGGTGTGAGGGTAATTTTGTTTTGCCTCTTTTTTTTTCTCTCTCCTTTTTTCTCTCTCTCTCTCTCTTTTTTTTTTTCGACCGCCGCACACACACACGACCACACCTTTGCAGCTTTTCATTCTGTTCGAGACGCCTGTTTATCCCCTGTATAGCTCCATAGTCATAAGATTCCGCCTGGCCATGGTACCTCGCGTGTTTGGGTAAAAACCAGAACGTCTATTGATTGCAGTGTGGATTCTCACCTGGCGAATTGAATCCGCAACACAGAATCAGCTATCTAGAATCACCATCATCAAACACACACTACACCACGAAACATTTCGACTTGCGGATAGACAAGACACGGCAAGCTAACTGAGATTCTTCAATGTGCCAGGGACTCCCTGTGGAGGTGCGAGTCACGCACACTCATGGCAGGGATATTCCAGGATGAATGATCAGTAGGGCTGCCTGCGACCGTTCGCTGTTACAATCAGGAAGAATTGCTCTGCCGTTGATAGAGGGCCTGAAATTCGGACTGTGGATATAAGATCACCAACGACAAGTCGATCGGCGGAGACGAAGAACGGTCTATATAGGGGATACAACACTTAATGGGTAGGTAGGTAGCTAAGTACTCGACTCGAACACTCTTCTTCAGTACTAGGTAAGATCCGAAGGGTAAAATGTGGTAAGGGAACGAGCAAAGCAAAACAAAACAAAAATGCCGAGGCTGAGAAGGGAGTGCAATGAGCGTCCATGCATCTCGGGCTCTCGACTCTTTCCTCACGCTCTTCGAAGCATGCGTAATTTCCCAAAGAAACCATTGTGCATGGTTGGGTAGGTGCAAAATCTGATTCCAAACGCCTTCGCTATGCAAAATCTTCCATCTCCTTCTTTATGCCTACTTCTCTTCCTTCGTCGTCTGTACGTTTTTAAGCACTATTGCTGGCTTGCTGTCGTCTCGCCGTGTCGCCTCATAGCCTCGTGCATCTCGACACGCAGGTCGAAGAGGAGGTTGTCCATTTCCCTGACAGTATCGCGGTCCAAAGAGGCAAGTTTGACCTGGTCGAGAATTGTGCGGAGGGAGGTGGTGATCGGGAGACCGTGGGCGGGCAGAGGGGCCGGCTCCTCTTGTTCGGGTTCGGGCACAGGCTCGTGCTCGGGTTCCTGAGCTGGCTCGGGCTCTGGTAGGGCTGATGGTTGTTCCGCTGAAGAAGGCTGTGCTTTGTCCGCGGAGATGTCCATCCCAGGCTCGGCAGGGGTGGTCGTAGGCTCTGGTCCGTGCGCTTCTGCCATGTGTGCGTCTTCGGGTTCTTCGTGCACTTCGGGCTCTTGGATAGACTGTAGGTCTGGTTGAGAAATCTGTGTTTCAGGGAGCTCCTCGGGAGAGTTATCCGCAGCTGAAGGCTCAAGGGACTCATCTGGCTCGTCGTTTGGTGTTTCTCTTGTCGTGGTATCTTCTTTCTCCGACGCTGCCGCAGCAAGCTGAGACTTGCGTCGTTCAGCCCTTCGCTCCCTCTCCCTCTGCTTTCTGCTCTTCCGTGCACTGCTGGGCCGAGGCGATTTTTTCGGGAGAGGGGATTTCTTCAAGACAGGACTCTCCTCGGGGATATCAGGTGCAGGGACGCCGCTGATACGGCCTGATCTTCGTTTCTGCGAAGATTCCTGTGTGTCTAAGGTCTTGCCGTTTGCTTTCTCTTTCTTAGCCTTGCTTTCAGGCTTAGGCGACTTACCTCCCACCACAGCAGGCTCCTTCTCGTGCACGTCTTCGTGCGCGACGGCTGGAGAAGACTGGACTTCCTGACTGACAATGACGACCCTCTGCTTCTTCGACCGAGCAGGCTGGCTATCTTCCACTTCAATTGCGGGGATGGCACTAGAGGTGAGTCTGGAGGAGCGACGCCTCTCTTTACTGGACAGCATGGACATTTCGGCTTCTTCCTCCCGCTTTCGTTTGCGGGTCACCGGGGCTGGATCCACAGAGTCTGGCACTTCCGAGTGGAGTGCGTCGCTGCTCAGGTCCACGGCGGAAACTAGATCGTACTCCAGCTGCGAGGTGGCCTGTGTGTCGGTGTCATCGCTAGAGTCTGCAGCAGCGTCCGGTTGCGGGGATTGTGGTTTCTCCATGTTCTCGTCACGTTCATCGGCGTCCTTGTTCTCGGGTACTGGGACAACCTGATCGGCAGGTTCATGGCTGAGTTCAATAGGCAGCGTCTTGGGCGTTTCTTCAGCTTGTTGAGGCGCAGGATCCTCATTCCTTGTAAAACTCTTGTCCGTAGAAGAGCGGAGACGGTTTCTCAACCCCCGCTCGGGCTTTGTCTCTACATTGACATCGCTTTGTTCGCTTTGCTCATTTTGCGAAGTGCTGGTGTCGGCATTTTCCTTGTTAGACACCTGCGACAGCTGAGATCGTCTTGACCGCCTCGCCCGAGTTCGCTTCTTGCCCTTCCCACCGCTATCCTTGACAACAGAAGATTTCATGGGTGACGGTTGTCGAGAATCTGGAGTTTGCCGGTCGAGCTCGGGAGGGGATGACGGAGGATCGACTTCCATTGTGTCATTATTGACAGCGGAAAACGAAGCAGGTACCGCGGATGCTACCGACGAGGTCCTACCTCTGATAGCAGGAGTCGGTGACGAGCCGAGGAACGTGTCTTCGTTGTCTCCGGGCACCGCTGGTAATGTGGGTGTCTTTGGGGTCTCAGTGTTAGAATCTTCGTTTCGTAGATTGCGCAGGTGAGGTGGTGTCATAAAGCCGAGCGTTCGCGGTGTATTGCCAATGGGAGATGATGAGCGAAGGTTGTCGATCATCGAGAACACTTGGCTATGTTGGGCGGCGCGTTCGCTATCGGACACGGGTAGAGCGGGAGCTTCGTTGTCGGTTGCGTTACTGGTGGGGGCATCCCCTGGTAGAGTATGCTCAGTCGGTCTTGTCTCCTGTGGAGACGTGACATTCGTTACAGACGATGGATCTGTAGGCGCAGAGAAAGGGTTTCCTGGAGAAGCGTCCAGGATAAATGCAATGCGAGACTTGGCCGGTACATCCTTAGAAGCGGTCACCGTGCCCTGGCTGGGAATGGTACTCGGGATACCCTGTTCATCATAGTGAGCTATCAAGTCATCGGGCTGCCTATAAGCGCCACCTACATTTATATTTCCCATTGGCAAGCCGCCTCGCCTTACATAACTAACCCTGGTTTTGACATCCTGTACCGCTATGTGTAAGTGGATAGGGCAGCCTGGATTCAGTTGACATTCAAAAGCAGAATTCCAAAAAGCGAGAAATTGTTCAGCCCTGGTATACTCGGACGCACGTAAGCCGGAGCAGAAGGTGCGCTCGAATCGTTGCAATGTCGCATCATTGCGAGGTAGAGCACCCAGAATATTCAAGATAGCTGCCGATAGGTCCTGGCACTAGTAGGAGTTAGTATGGACCGTTTCATTCTCTTCGTGCACTTACAGCGATCAACAATCTCTTCTCACAGGCCCCTTCAACCTTGAAGTGACCAGCAACATCCCGCAGGTAGTAGCCAAAGGGTTCTTGGAGCTTTTCGAGGAGCATGCAGCGGAAAATAATACTACCTGATCCAAGGAACAATACTACCGATTCCATAAACTCGGCAAGGCCCGTTGTTTGGCAAGTCGTGAAGTTGTCGTAAGACTCCTTAATGATCCTGTGGACAAGCCCAACTATTTCGGTAGGGAATGGCGGCTCGCTGAACTCCCCTTTTTGCTGATTCATCATGTTTCTGTCCCAGTAGTGGAAAGGAACTGTCAGACAATGCTTGATGATTGAAGATGCCGGTGAGTACGTCTCGTGAACCTCGAGCGAATCGATTGCAGCCGCAAGAGGTGCAAGTGCTATTGCTGATACAGCGGGGTCTCCTTTTTCGGTGCGCAGAACACCCAGAAATGTACCCAAAAGTCGATCCCAAAATGAGGAGCTGTCGGCAAATCTCAACCCTGCAGCGAGGATCTTGAAGACATTATCGTAATCGCGGAACAAAAGTCCATCACGTTCTCGAGTTGACTCAGTGGGGAAGGAAGACAAACAATCAGCACAGGGGTTGGCTGTCGATTTCCAAACGGTCTCTGCAAACCCAGGGACGCTTGAATCGAATCCATGGCCAGTTTCGACCAGGTCTACGCACTGTCGGAGGATATCGAGCTGGGGGCCCCTCGAGACTTTGCTGTGGCACGCCGCTCCAACAACCTCGTCGATCAGGCGAGAGTAAGCAGTGATCGGTGTTGGAAGGCCCGGGACATTGCTTATGAGACGCAGCAGGTGTAGAATAGGGCTGTCGGGATGGTTACTGGCAGTTGAATGGCGGTTTGTAGAGGTGTTGACATTTTGGTCTGCCGATTCTGCTGTCTTCAGAAGTAGCTTTTCGGTGACTGGGATATTGCCCAGCGCATTCACCATGGTAGTTGACAGAAAAGCGAAGCGGTCGAAGTAGGTGTTCTCCAAGTCTGTCTCGAGAGCATTGAGTGACAATGGTCCTGCTTTCCAAATGCGCTGGAGAAAGGCCAGTACATGCGCTACAGCCTGCATTGACTCAGGAGAAGGCGTTATTTCCTTGCTCGCGGCAAATGCGAGCGCCTGGATTAGATTTGTCCACGCCACGGCGATGTTAGACGTTCTCAGCTCGGGTTCCCAGACAGACGATTTCAATAGGGACTCAAAGACCTTGAGAACGATGGCAATTCTGGACCTGACCCACTTGCAATCCAAAGGAGGCAGTTCTTCGGCAACAATTCTCTTGAGCTCGTTTACTCGATTTTCCGACCAAGCCTTAAGAGGTTGCGAGCTCCATAACATATTAGAGATAGCATGGGCAGCGCGATCGCTTAGACTAGACACCACCGAGAATGTCTTTTCCGATGGTAATGCGATGTACTCTTCCCAAACGATGTCCAGCTGGTGGAAAGACGCATCGGGGCGGAAGGCGTAGTAGAGAAGGTTGTGGTAACTCGAGACAACCAATCCGCTGGGCTGTGTGTTTTGCTTGTCTATCTTCTTTCTCTCAAA